CGCATTGGTCTATTCGGGTACGAGTGAACTCTTGGACATAGTAGAGATCATCAAGTATATTCATATTTTGAGAAAGAGATCGAAGAGTGCTCGCACAACACTGTATCAATATTTTCGATGTATGTCTGTGGTTGGTGTTGATATATTTTGTACTTTTGTTGCTGACTATCCAGTATCTATTGGTCAGTGTAAGGATGATATGTAGCTGTATAAATGCTCATTGTGTAGCTACAGATAACATAAACCAAATTGGGGTAGCACCAGCATGCGTCACGTCTCGATAGATAATGGTTTGGAAGCACATACAAAACGTGACACATTGCTACAATCGTCGCTGTCGTAGACGGAACCGATCTGGATTTTTGACAACCGATCTATCAGTAAATTGGAGAGTTTGAAATCTATACCGTTATCAGTTCTATCTTCATATAGTGTTATTTAATGTGACCAATAAAATCAGGAAAGTGAATAAAGTAGACCAGCCGGTCTGAAATCCGCACCGATATCGGATCGAACAAGACCGATCGATTGCCTGTACTGGCTCTATCTTTGTTTGTCTTAGTCCAACCGAGATTTTACATATTTTAACCTGTGTCGCATTCGCTTATGTGACGTGAGTCATACGCCGTTTCTTTCTGTATTTTTTTCTATTCTGTTTTTGACATATTACTCTATCTTAAATTAACACGTAACGACATTTTACTTCGCACAGAGTTCTGAGATATGTCGACTCTCACTTTCTTCTCTGTTGTTTTTTCTCAACAGTATCCTTATCTTAGGTAGATATCTATGACACTTAACGCCGCACCACTTCTCCGAGGAAGATGGCCCTTTTTTATTATTTATCGCTTTCTTTGTATGTCATCTTTTCCTTCGTCGACCAGTCACAAAAATACGAGTTACACGGTTGTCTGAAACAAATGCAATCTTTCTGGTTACTTCCAAATCTCTATTTCGCTTCTCACATGCACGTAATTCACTGACAGATCAGCCTATGAGCGAGGATAGACAATTGCCCTTTCCCTCCAAGAAATTTTCGAGGATGCACAGAGTTTTATTGTCAAGCATTGATAGCTTTCCTATTCGAAAATATCGCCCCATATTTAAAAAGTGAAGACCACTCGTACCCTGCCTTTGAAAGTGTTGACAGGAGATGATTTTTCAATAAGTGGAGTACAAGTTTTGAAGGAATATATCTTACATTCTAGAAAAATAAGGTTTTTTTACAAAACCAAAGAAGATGCTGCTCGTATATTCGTAGGAGTCCGCTTAGGATTTGTTTTTCATATAAAATGTGTGTGATAATACCATCTGGAAATGAAATACAGACTTGTTTTGGGTAGTGCTTAATATGTCTGTTTCCAACGATCAATTTCATTCTGAATGATATCTCATCTAGAGACAAACGTTAGCAGACTATTCAAGGTCCTATCAGAATCTTGCTCGTGGTTAGAACTGTAAATCGATTAGCTATGCTGCTGTCGTCAACGCTCAAGCGATCCAACTGTAGTGTCGCTGTTGCCGCAAATAGCTGCTGAAGATCTTAGCCGCCGCAACACAAAAATAGATACCTGATTTTTTTATAAACTTCCGGCGTTTACGATCGGTTTCAGAAGATATTCTAGTCTAGTTTTTATTATTAAGTTTTCTCTTATCATTTTTACTCTTTTCTATTTCGAAATTTTTCGGAAGTAATTAAATTTTTAAAAGAGTTATCGAAAGCTTTTAGCCACTGCCATTAATCAAATCGTCGACTTATACCTCTACCGTTGATGGTTTTTTTCAAACTTAATATCATTTTTTTTCGCTTCGTGAAGATGCATAGTTAAATGATCTGAGGTCTTATAGTGATTTTGTTGGTAATAGTATAATAGAGATGACACTTCCTTCAATAATTGAAAGAACTTGAGCTTTTAAACTTTTCTTCTATGAATGATCAAAGGTTCATAGCTAACTTCATATCTTCAAAGAGCAAATTAAAAAAGGCTATCGAAGGTCCAACATTACGACGATCGTAAACAAATATATATTGATGGTCGTGATGACGTAAACGCACATAAATGGCGAAATTATGACCATATATGAGCCGTAGATTAACTTTTTTTAAACAGAGGCAGTATTACGGTGATAAGCCACAATATGGCATACAGAGTAAATTCTTACTTCTTTATCCTTATACCTAGGTCTTACATCCATACCCGTCTAACTATAATTCTATAACTGCGCCTTTATAGCTACGCCATTATACTTATCCCATTAGATCTCTATTTCTATACGTACGTGCTTTAGTATGTTCGTTAGATACAGTATTTGACGATGTATGACAAGCAATAATAGCAAATAACTTGGTTTGAGTCAACTTATTGTATTTTATTTAATTGAACAAGTGTAGATCGCTGACATCGATGCTTATCTTCAATCAAATACAATAGAAAACGGCGACCGTTTGATAATCATCTGCTGTTGGCGTTTTCCGTCGTAACAGGCCGCTATGCAGTCCTGCACGAATATAAATCATGGGTTTGGAGCCGTGAGTTACGGTCGAATGACTTCGACTCAAACTGATTCTCAACCGCTGTAGTGATAAATAGGACATTATTCTAACAATCGAATAGCGATTCACTTACCGCGTCAAAAATTATTTTTATCCGTCGCCTACGTAAAATATTTCGCATAAAACATTTTGCGACAAGCCATTCAAGCAAAAATTTTTGTATAAAATCTCTCTGTTGTCACCTACGCAAAAATCGTTTGGAAAAAAAACTTTGAAACCTACCGCTCATGCAAAAAGTTTTGTAGAAAATATGCGAAATATTTTTCTTTTCTCAGAAAATGTAAAGGGTTCGTCAAAAAAAAAGTAATCCTCTTTCATTCTATGAAACCATGAAGGACTTCGTAAGAAAACTACGCGACTTTTGGTTGCTTAGAAAAAAATACGAGAATCTTTTTCACTCGTCGAACTATCATAGGTTCACTAGAAAGCATGTAGAACCATCTCTTACGGAACCAAACCATGTAAAGTTTCGTAAGAAAAATGCGAAACTTTTTTCATCATATTGCATCACGTCAGTTTTGTGTGAAAAGTGTGACACCGTTTCTTATTTTTCTGAACCTACTAAAGGTTTCGTATGAAAACTACCAAACCCATCAATTTTCTCGAAATCTAACGAGGTTTAGCAATACATCTTCTTTCAAAGTATAGAAAACAAGTTTTCATACATGATTTTTATGCATTTAGGGGGCATTTGCGCTTCGCAAGTAAAGCTTGCTAAACGTTTCTGTAAGTTGATGGTACATTGTCTTGACATTTTGACTTTCAATCTGAAATATGCTTAATTTAGTTTCACAATAGATTAGAGCAAATCAGAGGCCTGCATTTCCATCAAGTTCATCTTCGACTTTCAAGATAAAATGTAAATAAAACATAGCCACCTCCAATTAACGAATAGGTAAAGTACAAAATCTATTTGTGTTCTCACCGATCGAGAAAGAACGAGCTCCTTTTTGATCAAATTATAATGCATGGGAATCAAATGTTTTTTTATTACCTTTTAAAAAGTGGTCGCCTTCAATGGTATCTTCTCTGTATCAGGTAAATGTTTGATATTCTTGATGTATAGTTTTGTTACCGCCCAAAATGTGACGTTTTCCATATGGGAAAGCTTATTAGGGCAGCCCTTCTAGGACTGCAATACAGAACTCACATAATTCCCATAAACTATAATGCTTACTCATCAGGTGTGTCCCGAAATGCCAAAAGTTGGGTATAGACAATTTTTGGGAAATTTTTAGAAGTTTCTGAAAAATGGTTGTAACGTATCAAGTAAAGAAAAACAATATTTCAGAATATTGGCGGAAGAAGAGTAACCTCGTGCTCCCGATACTACTGCCAACACTTATAAACTTTAATGCTAAGGTCTAATTATAATGGAGACTTGTCTTTCTATGGTCTTTAATGGAAAAGTGGTAAGGCTGAAAACTTCGACTTAAAACTGACACTCATTATTTTCTGCGAAACTATATGTGAGTTCCACAAAATACCTTGCTATTATGATAAAAAATTTACCTAGAAAAACGGCAGGAAAAAATCTTCACAACTGAAACGAAAAACCTGTCCATCAAGCTGTATTTTGCTATATCCATTTGAAATACAGATTTCGTAAGTTTTCTTCATTCTAATTGAATCTTTTAGTCTATGCAATTCGACAAACGTGGATGTTTATGTGATGGAAAATTGGTGCTGTGGTGAAGCAAAAGATTTTTATTGCTCCTTCTTAGACTTTTACTGTAGCCTACCACTACCATAAACTGTAATATTCAACTCATATAATGCATTTTAACGTTCTTGCATTTCTGCTGCTTTACAGTCGGTTTTGAAAATAATCTCATCAACCTTGTTCATTTAATATCTCATAATCAGTGATAATAATTAATAGTTATTTCATGACATTTTTTACATGGATAGGCACCTTCGTGATTGAATCGTTGGAGGATCATATTAATTATGTTGATCACTTAATCATTTTTATACTATCAGTCATTACACCAGCGATGTCATGTTGTTTTTACTTCAGTCTCGTTGTTTAATTCGAAGTCAGTTGATAAGAGTAAATTCTCTTTGTTTCTTTCTTTCTTTCTTCGAACAATATATTTGACATTGAGAGAAAAATTGAAGGATGACTTGAGTCTTTTTTCGTATATGCACCTTGACAGCTGATAAGTTTCTTTGTCGTTTATTTTCGTTTTATGTACGAAAAAAAGTTTGTTTGTTTGGTGCTGTTGCTTTCTTTTCATTCTGTCACAATGACCATGAGACAACTCCGTATTATCTGTGTTTTTCATTTGAAAAAAATATGTTCAGCTAACTATTACTCTGTGACTGTATTTTTAGATTAAGAAAACAAAAGAAAAGAAATCTTCATCAGACCATATTTTCTCTTTATTCACTTGGTGTCAAAACAATTGCATTTTTAAAATTTTGCTTTCGTATTCTAACACACATGTCTACAACCATGCTTCCATCGTACTGGAACTGGATCATACCATCTGTCGTTGTGTTTGTTCTAATTATTGTCGGCATTATTTTGTTTCTCTACTTGACAATCAATCCAAATTATGAAATAAAGCATCTTCCTGCAGTTTCTTCACCGGTCCTCCTCGTACGTATCGAACTTTTTGAAAGGAATGCAATTCTTTCCAGTTTTTACCAAGTTTGACGTATAGATGAAATAAAATCGCAATTAGAAGGTAGGAAATAGCGTTCGTTACTCATACATCTAACCTTTCTTTTCTTGTGCTAACTATCTGCACTCATGGCAGTTGAGTAATGATCAGTTACTTCAATACCTTACTTCTCTTATGAAGCTAAACCTCTTGGGTTCTGTAAAATCTATCGTTCTTCACGACTGTTAGCAAAAATGAAAAATAACTTTCTTTTGTGCTCTGCTACTAATAATCAGTTTGCTTATACGTAGTTCAGAATGCAGAATATGCTTGTGTGATCTACTTGCTTTCAATCTCAAGGCAGCCAATTTCAGAAGGTAAAACTAGACTAATTTTGCGTTTTTTTAAGTCTCTGTTCTGTGTCAACTGCTTCATGTTGTCTAAAAGCTTCTTGTGACCGCTCATAACAGAGATCTGGGCAAAAGTGTATGTCGTAATAAGTAGGATTATGAAGTGAGAAAGCAACTCGAATAATGATACTTATTCGTATCAAGATATGAACATATGAGATGCCTTAGACCTATGATTTCAAATATTTCTATCTTAATTCTTTATTTTTCGTATTAGGTCGATGCGACACCTGATTCTGATAGAAATACTCTAATGTCCACTTCTGATAGGAATACCATAATGGCTGCTTCTGATCGGAATATTCTAACTACTACTCCTACCAGCATACTAATCGATGATGCTTCAGCATTATTTAATAAAGCTAAAAGTGTATGGTCTATTATCTCTAAAAAGTAAGAACCAACAAATAAAAAAACAAATAAATTTGGAGGAAAAGTTTCTTCTCTTATATGATTTAGTGCAGCGACGGCCGATATTCACACTACACATGGTAATGTTTTACCTGCTAACATCAACAGTCCATTAGATCTTCAATCTTGGTCATCTTCGCCTGTTTCTCGTTCTTCTTCTCTAACGATCTACAGTCGTTTAGGTTTACGTGTTCTTCAATTTGATTATGATCTTGAATTTCTTTACGGCGGCTCGTTAAATGGACGAGGAGCGTATTTAGATGGTATTACCGTAGTTCCATCACGTATAACTGTTGCCTGGTGTTATGTATTCAATGCAAACGTTGAAATAACGTCTATACGCAATGTAGGCACAAGTGATAATCCAATCGCTGCTGCGCATATTGAATTAAAATATCAACTAAAAGCACTCAGTCGCGTAGAAGGAACAACATCATTTGATGTCAAAGGTGATGGACGCGTGGATATTTTGCATATGAAATAAAACTCGATCATTTTAAGTATTGATTTCTTGAAACATCTACACATAGACTAGTTTGAGTCGTCAACGCCAGTCCATCATTCACCTACGCTGGATAACGGCGACTATACGTGACCGTGTACTTCCATTGTGAATGACATTAGTATAGGATTACTATTGACCCTTGAGTCGTCAATGTTCACAGATGTAGACACTGGTATAAGCATCATTGAACAAAATCTGAGCGTTTAATCGAAAACTAATTCTATATTGAGTGTAAGGGCAGAAGTTCATGAAGTCTCGTTTGGTAACAAAAGAAATTCTTTTTTATCGAGCTTCTCCTAGAGTTATTCAAAGTACAGTGCAAAGTTTTTGATTGTTGAATAATTTTTTCAAATTTCAGCTATATTCCAAATTTCGAATTTTCTTCTGGCTTTGGAAATGATATCTATAGGCTAGGCACATATTAGTTGCTCAAAATATTTTATAAAAATTATGAGTAAGTTTCTAGATTAGAAAGCTCATTGTCTACACTTGCCGTCATTGTGAATATTAAACATAAAAATGACTGTCTTCTGTAAACAATTCTATTCATGTATCAGTATACCAACCAGAGATGGAAAAAAACTGAGTTTTTGGTGACCAACATCGATTCCATCTATGATACAAGCAATGTTTTCTGAAGGTTGGATAGATCTTCAAATAATAATAGAAAAACTTCAGGATAGTTGACAACTGTATTGAAGGTCATGTGGCTTATGACACTCTTCACCTGTGATACTAAGAAAAAATTAGATGTTCGAAACTCAAATCAAAACATTAACATCATTTTAGTAGCATGAAACTCATGAACCTCAGTAAGTTTGTCATCAAACCTGTATATTTTCTTTTGTTATTTGGAGATGAAATTTGTCAACTTTGTAAGCTGCAAAAGAATACCGAAATCAGCATGAATTTCTTTGATGTAAATGATGGTTTTAGACAACAAGAAAACTACGCGAAAGACCAGTTTTAAGTCGTTTTCCTCAATTTTCACGTCTGTGAAGTTCATATTGCACCAAGAACAGGCGATTTCATGGTTGTTTTTCCTTATGGTATGAACATAATGGTGAATAACAGTCCTCATATTAGTTGTGAGTTTGCTGGTAGATCTTTGAGATTCTTCATGGAAGATGGGTAATGGCTCTAACTGACTGTAAATAATCGTTAACAAGAAGAATATAGTAATTGTTAGGTGGAGAGTCATATTAAAGTGATCAAACAACACTAATTGTTATTTTTCTTCAATATCCTTTGTTCGACGTGGTTTTGACTGAAAGTACTGTGCAATACATGATTAAAATGAAAGAAAAGGATGATTTTCCAATGAAAATGATGAATATCTATCAATCATAACATTGGGAGATTTAGCCATTTTTAGTCGACAGTAACTAGGATCAACATTACACATATTTAACTGAAATTGAACCCATGTGGAAATGAATGTTGTACAATTTACTTCAATGACTGGGGTCTCTTCAAGTTTTTAACATAGGAGTCAAATGCTTTTTGAAATCATATTAACGAAGTGGGATATAAATGCATTTTTTGGTTCATTCTGTTTTACTTCGTTGATACTCTTTGTTGTTTTTATTTCTATGACAATGTTTATTTAGATTATTCGTGACAGTTTTCATACTGTTCAAAATAACAATCATTGAAATTTATATGGAAAAAACTTCTACATGAGCGAAGTTTATTGAAAATTCAGTCGAGATTTTTTCTTAAACTTATTTTCATTTCGAAAAAAAAGAAAACAAATTATTAGGAATTTTATGAAGATACGAATCATATTAATTCGTGTTTAGATCTGTGAAAATTCGTTTCGTTGAACAGTTTTATGGTATTGTCTATTGGTCAATAACGCTACAAAAACTCAGAAAAATAATTTCAATGTAAAAGGAAACACAATTTTTTCCTGCTTTTTGTGTAATTTTTTGCTGCCTATTTTTCATTATTCATTCTTAAACATAGGAAACGTTTTCATTCTCACTTCAAACAATACCTTAAAATCACAAGTTTATTTCTCACGAGTAGATTCTTTTGTATTTCGATTAATAATACAAAGATCACTGAAGTTTTTTATTGTTGTGATTTTTTGAAAATACTTGACAACATTTTATTTTATTAAAAAAAAAAATCAAATTGCAATTTTTAACATTCAGAATATTATTTTTTAAGGACAAATTGATCAACAACATTATCATCACTATTGTGATGATAGGAAAAATGTAAATATGTTCTATTAGCCCATAATTGAGTATAACCATATTGTTGATCATGATAAATACTCCATTCAGCATCTGAATATTCTCCATTATCAATGTCTTGTCCAGCCATTCCAATTAGAATATGTGTTATACCATCATCAACACACTTTTGTTGAAACATAGGACATGTTCGTTCATATGAATGTTTATGTGCAAAAAGATTAAGATCAACATGATATTTATAAAATAATGGTTCTAAATAGAGTTGTAACATAAGTTTAATAAAATCATAAGGTTCATCTGTTTCTGATGCATACATTGGTCGATGTGAGCCAACAATTAACCATGGAGTACGAGAACGATTTACTGAACAAAGATCTTGTTCAAGCCATGAATATTGTGGAGATGTATGACGAAAATCATGTTCTGTTGAATAGTAAACAATATGTGTTGGACCTACATCAAAACTATACCAAAAAAGACCATTTCCATTTGATGGAGCATTAAAACGATGAACCATTGGAACAGCACATTCACCACCTGAATCATAACCATAATTTCCCCTAAAAATAAATGGTACAGTAATAAAAATGATTCATCAGCACGAAATATGTTTGATTTTCTATTAAACGCGACACTGACCATTCTGGTCGAAATCCGCCCGGACCTGGTGCACCACTTGGATCATTCTCTCCACCTAAGACATGATCATATTCATGATTCCCGATTCCAACCATATATGGTACACGAGCTGCTATAGGTTCGATTTGTGTCATAAAAGCATCCCATTGAGCACCAAAACCTCGTGCATAACTAATATCACCAATATGTAACAAACAAGTTATATTTGTTAATAAGATTCGTGGTGTAACTCGATCCATTGTAGATTTAGAACCAGGTGCATATGGTGCTAATCCCATATCTCCATATGCAATCATATATACTGGTTCATCTTTATTTGCTGGTCTATTTGTAAATGAATAAATTGATGACCAACCATGTTGATCTGTTCCAACGCGATAATAATATTTTGTTGATGAACGAAGATCTTCTAATAAAATGGTATGCATATATCCTGGATCAATAAATCTTCGTGGATGCCATTCATTAGCTTTTCCTTCACACATATCTGATGCTGTATAAGTTGTTGTTCTTCCAATTTTATGAAAATTTAACGAGGATGGAGTTAATCCATATTGACATTGAGGAGTATATTCTGATGAATTAGTTAAATAAGAAACAAACATTTGATCAATTCGATCACTATATGCTAAATGGACATGCATTGGTTCATTGTAATTCCGTGGTTGAATAACAGGTGACTTAGCATTAAGAGAATAATTCGCTGAGCAATTATGTTCACGTGAATAATAACGAAATTCTAATGGACGACGAAGATTAATCATTTTCCATAACATACTACTTTGACCTTTGTTAACAACTTCATTATCGAAATAATCACAAACTAGAATAATGATACAAAATGATTTATTTACTTATGCCAATAAATTATAAAAAGCGACATGTTCTTTACCTGCAGTAAGTGGACTCTCGACAGAATATATTCCAATATAATCATCATAACATGGAGTTAATGGTGATGACCAAGTGACTGTGACCAGTTCGTTACTGGAATAGATCGTAGATGATACATTCAAACTTGCTATAGAGACATTTGTAGAAGAAGATTTTATTTTTGAAGGCAATTTACATGGACGACGATCTGGTTCATCATCTATTGTATGACGTTTGCCAAAAGGACCATTGGCATTTAGATGTTTGCCTACTGCGGCGAAAATAATAAACAAAAAGAAAAGAAAGACGACCAGCCTCATTTGACCAAAACAAACTCATTCTGTAGCTCGTCATATTTTACCTTTCTTTACATTCAACACGGAGAACGATAAGAAAAACAAACCGATAGCATATCATTCTACATTGAAGAAGTTTTTCTATATTGCAAATGTTCTATGATGCTGTAAAGAATACAATAGATTTCATATACACCCATGTTTCTCGTGTCAGCAAAGTTCTGTGGAAGTAGTACTCATACAACAATCAATACAATTGTCAGAACTTTTTACATAAAAAAGTATAAAACCTTCAAGACAAAAACATGAACATTCTATGCGAATAAGAAATGATTTATCTTTCAATTTAGTTATCTTAAATGAAATAAATAGTCATGATACATTGAGCCATAAACGAAACTAATCTAACGAAAGTGTCAAAGAAAAAGTTGCTATCTACTCAAAATGTTCGATCAACAGGAGCAGACTAGTCACCGTTCCGCGTTGGACATTGACATCGGCTTTGTATGAATGTAATTCTACTAAGATCATTCGACTTTGGCTCTTTCCCATACAAAAATTTCTGTTCAATGGCATTAATCATTTAATCTGTCTGCTTCATTGGTTGATTATTAGTATTCTAGCCTCTTATGGCGAAATGATAAACTTCCGCCATGTTTTGGGTACAAAGCCGGGGATGCAACTTTTGTAACAATTCCACAATTTTGCGAATCATTTGTAGCATATGCACAAACACTAACCAGATTAAGAGAGCAAGAACAATGACAATGAGTAACTCACTTAATGCTGATCTTGTTAAGAATCTTGACGCAGAGCAAATTTCCTGCTATGATTAGTCTGCAAATGTATTAAATGGTTTCCATGCTGCAACATTTAATTATGATCTATTTGATTTCTCACGATGAGAAATCCGAAACTACGATTCCGGCGATTTCTGGCAGTCGGATCCAATTGTTGGAAAATGACGGATACACCAAGTATCTAATAGAATTCTGTGGAATTCATAACTGAAGTTTAGTTCTTTTTTAATCTCTCCCTTCCAAGTCGCCCCTCTACCCCTTTTCCTTCCTTCTTGAGTGTCGAGTGTGGGTGTCAGAACCTGAAACGAATTGGAGTTATCGGATTCGGTTCGCGTTTGAGTGCGAATGAGATGCGTCAGACGTAACTAGGGATGATGAAATTTGAATTGAGGATTCAAAAGTAGAAGAATTTGATGATATCATTTCAGATGTAAACGAACAAGATTACGGGTATGGGCGTTGATAGGTGTGCGTATAGCTCTTCTTAACACCCATACCCAAAATGCCGTAACTGCTCCATTAGAGAGATGAAGTTGATGATCATACAAAGAAATACGGATGGCATCTGCATCCATGTCTCGTGGTGGTTTATGATGATTCGTTTTTCCTATCTGCATGAATCATTCTATATACATGAAAGAACTCAAGAGATTTACTCAATCTTCTTATTCATGCTGCATTACATATAAATTGAAAAATCTTTTTATAGTTTGTCACCAATTATAGTTGACATGTCTGATATGTCAAGCTTTGATGGTCTATCGAATGAATTGATTGTTTGAACTTTCGCCTATTTAACTCCAACAGAATGTTTTCAATCAATTTTTGATTATAATGATCGCTTTTGGAAATTAGTTAAACATTATGTGTCCTACAATCGTCGTGAACTTAACAAAAATATCGAAAGATTTTCAAGGCTACACAGTTGGTACAAACATCTGAATTTTAATGAAGACAGTGTGAAATTCTATATGGTGTCATTAAAAAGGCAACAACAACGTTATGATTTTGATCCATGTGTTGCCGACTTCAACGGTATTCATTGATACTTTTGGCAACAGAAAACAATGTCAATATCTGATAAAGAAATAAAAAAATTGTCAAAAATATCCAATTAAACCCAATCCGCTTGTTCATCCTCGAATATCATTCGAGAGAATATGTCGACTGGATGGTCAAGATTTCGTCTATTAATACTGTCCAAAACAATTTAAAACATTGGCAACGATCATATTCCGAGCATCAAGCTCCACGACTTTTCATGGATTAGAATCCTACCTAGATGATATCAATTACATGATGCAATTTATCTGCGAAAATGAGCGAAAACGCTTGAAAAGTATCATACACGAAACAGCCAATCGTATATGGAAAAAAATACAAACATTGAAAGATGTTAATATACTAGATCTTAGATATATGGAACAATCAGCAGAATATGTAGTAAAAATGATCTTTAATGAATTCATCAATTCATGAATAGAAATAAGAATCTAAGAGTTCTTGCTTGCTATTATTTACTTAACACATGCGTATAGTTAGATAAGAATACGAACACAAATATAAAAAACAACTATTACGACTCTCATCCAACGGTGTGTTTTCGTCACATGACAATTTAATTCAAACAAAATACGTTTAACATTGGACGACAATGAGAATTACTTTGATTAACCATAATGTTCCTTATGGTGTTCAGCCCAATTTGAATTAAACCAATAGACGACATTATCTTATACCTGCCATTATCCACGATTAGATAACAAATAGAAACTTCCAAATCATAACGAAGTATCATGAACTCTAATGAAAATTACTTGTTCATAACTTTTTTTTCCTATGTACATAATAACAAAAGCACTGAATGTTATTTCTATGGATTCGTACCCATTAATGTGTTGTCTTGAATTCCGTCAGAATTATCAAAAGCCAACGATATAAATTTATTCCTACACGAAAATCCATTGATAGTTTTGTGAAAGAGTATGGGTGTTCGTGTGATTCGTCTGTCGATTCCAACCCGACCTCCGTATTCATCCTTAAAATGCCCGGTGATACTGATGACAGTAGAACAAATTCAATCTTTTTTCAGATGTTTATTGAAGCTCAAGTGATTTTATATGTTAATATTTCAGGTATTTTGTCAATAGAATTATTTTCTTTCTCTTACTCAATTTTATTGACTGAATAATCTTGTTTTTCTTTTTCCATATTATCGTAAGAGCAGATTAATATGCCTCGATACGCACATAAATACAAAAAAAGGAATCGAATAGAACATTTAAGAACGAAATTAACTATTTCGTAGCAAGTCTTTTGCTTCTACATTAGCCGCATCTATACGTTCAATTCCAACGTTAGTTTTATCTGTAATATGTTGAATCTGTTCATTTTGATGTATGAGTGTATGACCCATATCAACTGCTATGTTTTTCAAATTATCAAGATGGTTACCAACTACTTGTAAATTATTATCCATTTCTATTTCACGACCATCATTTGTAATACGAGTAATATAACCAGTTTTAGGCATTCCGTCATCAGCAGCCTTACGATGTCTAGGTTCTATAGTCTTAATTGGTGATTTTTCAGAACTATATGTTTTATTACGCTTTTCGAATGATCCATACGTTCGATGAGTACGTTTCCATGGTAGAACACATAAACCACAACATTTCTGTAAATTAGTTAAATTTTTTTCAGCTTCAGTCATTTCGGCATGAATATTACCAAGACCATCCTAATGTATGTTTGAGAAGATAATTAAATCATTGAAAAAATTAATTAGGAAAAAACAATCTTACTTCAACTCGATTTAGATGTTCACCTTGTTCATGAAGCATCGTCATTGTGTGTGTACCGGCTTCTTGAGATTCAATAACTAAACCAACTGTACGACGTGTTGATTCCAAAGACTCATTTGTTGTTTTATTAATTTGTTTGTGAATTGCATCTAATTTATCTTTAGCTTGTTCGTCATTGTGATTCGATGAATGCATCATTTTATGTTGAGTTTTTTTTGGTACAGTATGTTGCCAATATTTAACTGGAGTCAAAGGAGGATAGAGAGAATGGATATTATATATATACGTATGTTGATGGAGAAACAAATGTAAATATGTAACAGTACTGTTAGCCGAGTAGCATAGGTGAGTCACATCGAACGAAAAGAAAAAGAATAAAAAGTAAAAACGGTGAATAGATCAAGTTGGTTCGATTTATCGAATTTACCTATTTCTTTTGCTTTTTCTTCATTTTCATATTACATCGGAAGCTTGGTGAGTTTATTTCTACTTCATCTATTTTCGCTGACAAACTGAGTTCTGTTTATTACTTTCTATTATGTATGCAAGTATATTGTGCATACATAATGTAGTTATTTTTTTTCTCCTGTTCTTGAAATAAATACGTAATATTGTTTTTTTGCGAAATAAGGGTGTTTATGAGAGGTTGTGAGAATGGGAGAGAAGGAATATCTATGCCCACACCCACACTACAGTCCTTGAGACTAAGACTTTTTTGTACCCTATCCCTATTCTACAGCAATTTTCGTATCCCTTACCTTTCCCTAAGAATTTTCTATCCTAATCCTACCATGCCCTATAGATTTTGTATCTTACAAACTATCGTATCCTAAGATTTCGATAATGAAATAAATGTAGTTTTATGTATATTATTTATATATAATGAAATGTGTATCAATGTAATTGGTTTTTTTTTCACAAATCAAAAATTTTTTACTGATGTTGGAGACTATATCGGTGATAAAATATGCTTCAGGCTGTTGTGTTAGGTCAACATTTGTTATAGTATCATTATTGCATTTTCTCAACTAAATTTCGTATAACATCACGTTATTTAAAAAATTGCATAATTGTTTTATATTGCAGTTTTTGATAGATTTTTTGTCTTTTGTACTTTTATAGCGTATATTACCCGACAAACATAAGATGTAGAAAAGCGAATATAGCGTGGACGAAGATTAAGTATATAGTTAATAAAAGTGTGAATGTCTGAAGATTAATTAAGTGAAACACAAAATTAATATAAAATTTGTAGTTGTGTGATATTCTTTGTCCATCCATATAGGCTCAAAAAGAGAAAACAGAAAAATATGTAGTAATAGGTACTATAGTTTTGAAGCAGCACTTTTATACTATTACTATAGTGATTCAGAGAAAGATAAGAATAATCCAAGAGGCGATATGACTGTTGTAGAGTCACAAAAAAAAGAATAGCTTATACCGGCCGGCTTTGTTCGGTTTGACGGTTTAGACCACTACCGATATTGGTGACGAAAAATTCTATCGACTCCAACCCTATCTTCTGGGTAATCATTCAGCCGAATAATGGTACAAATACATGACAATGCAAATGATTTCATGAATGCTAGTGCATTATTTGCAAATCTAATGCATTAACATCAGTGAAATAGATTGCATTTCAGAGATCGAAACCGAATCGAATCTGAATGAAGGTTTTCGTATTCTTTTCAATCTCTATTGCACTATCATGTAATTACATCTACTATTTCCATAGCGACTACATGAATAGTCTTTTATACCAGTTAGATGTCAAAAGTATCTTCGAAGTTGCTTGCCAGAAAAAAAATCTCAGAAATGTGAACAGCATTCTAACTCTACCCTATAGGGTTAGGTAGGATTACCCTACCGAACTTCGACCTACACTTACTTACATACCCATTTCTATCTTAGTTTTATTGATAAATGATATATTTGAAATGACTAGAAAAAGCGATAATATTGACTATAATCGTTATTTTATTTGGAACTCTCAAGATGATTAGGTTATTTCATGGATTAAACAGACAACTTCACAAAATTTATCATGAATAGAAATCAAATGCCTCTGAACTTTAGATGAGCTGATGAGAAAAATGTTATTTACGAACACCGATATGGTCTATCGATTCTTTTTCTTCTACATAGATTATCCAATCTTTTTTTCGTCGGTAAGAGAAATCATCTCAAATCTAAAATTTTTTGGAGAAGCAAATTGAACGAGATAACACAACTTTTCCTTTGATCATATCGGATAGATTTTTTTAGCTAAGTGTCTATTTATTGAATTGATCCATTTTAAATTTAATTTTTGACCTGTTTTCTTCGCAAACCTATTAGAAAAACTACAGTGGAACTGAGCCAATAGCAGATATTAGTCGAGATTTCATTGATGAAACATTTGACATAAGTATTTTGTTATGTCTAATCATTTTGCTTCATTATTGATGCCAAAACACAATGAAAGTATTTGTGACAATAAGATATGGTCTATAAATGGTACTATTTTAGCTAGTAAAAGTGATGATCTTGGATCTGTATTTTATGGATTGCATTGTCCTTGAGAACTTTTTATTGATAACAATCAAGTTATGTACTATGCAACAGCTTCGAAAAATCATCGTATAGTCAAATAGAAACCAAGTGATTCGAGTGGTTAACTAGTCGCGGGTGGATAAGGAAGTGAAAAGAATAGTGAGTAATTGAATCATCCGTCAGATGTTTGTCATCGATACAGATGAAACAATCTACATTAGCGATAAAGAAAACAGATGCGTTCAACCATGGTCTCCAGGTGCTAAGGATGGAAAAATAATCATTAGAGAGTGGATATGAGTGCATGTGGGTGAGATGTAGCTGTGGCTCATCTTTTCGACCATATGTCCACGCCCATATTCTTTTTACATTTTGAACTTTTCAAAGTGAATTATTGTCATAACTGGTTTTATTAAAAGAAAAAGAAACGGATAAAAACAATAACATTTTTTTATTTTTATCTATTGATAAGAGTAAAAGAATATGAGAAATCATAAATAAACAAAGATATTACTCGTTTTGACTAATATACAGTCGTCTTTCACTGTAGGATAAATCAATTTTAAGATCTTCGGATTATTATAATGACAACTATATTAAACTTAAAACTTGAGCTTAATTGAACTTTCAGATTGCAACATCTAATAGAGAAAGTTATATATTTGTTTATACACACATCTACTCGCAAAGAAAGAAAATCTTTTTTAGACATATCTATATGCATTCATAGAGTATCTCTCTGAATAATGTAGAGAATTGAAAAGTCTAGTACTATTAACCACCGTAAAAATGTCAGCTAGATCGGTTTTTGCATGTTTTAAAAAGGGTCGAATTGTCTTAGACTTTGACACTATTCATCGTGGCCAGTAATCTGAAAATAATCTCGTTAAAAAAGCGCTCAGATACTTGGGAACGCCCCCTCGTTAGTTATCTTTAGTGGGAAAATAATGAGCCCTCTGATTATTTTTGACACAAAACTAGAACAAGTTTTGTTAAAGTTAAGAGAATATATGTTTTCTTTGTATGCACAGATTAGAGACGCATCGTTTAGATGAGTTTGTATTATTGTCGACGAAGACATGCCATTCTTTAGTTCATCACTGAGAAAGATCGCTCTGCACCAACAGAAAGACTTTTTCGTATAAAATTGCGATATCAGCACTAAGACAAAGTGTAGTGCCATAATTAAGCATTGAAAAAAGGATGAATAATCAGAGCTTTTGAGTCAACGGAACGTGGAACAAACACACTAATTTAAAAACTACAAACTCAATAGAAATGATGGTGCCGTAATAAGATAAAAGTTCTAATCAATAAGAAATGATGCATTCTTATCTTGATCCGAAGAAAAAATGCTTAATTCGAATATTATTAAACAGTAGTCTACTAGTGTAGTATATGTGAAAAAACGACAAATGCTAAGACCTCCGAAGTGAACATTCTTAAACAAATGTATTATATTCTTGAAAACTTTGCCAAGATTTTGCTTCTCGTTAAGATCTAGTTATTGTTAAAGGCTTCATTCAAATCAAGCCACTAGAGTTTATTTCATTTATGTATCGTTATGAAAGAAATTCTTCAAAATCAAAAACATGCTGTGGCACTATTTACGGCTGATTATGCGAGCTGGGCTTTTTTTCAGTTTTGATGCATCGATTGTAACATCCGCAGGCAGGTTGACAGCATTTTTCGTCCGAGGCACATTGACTGTCTCTCCTGCAGCAGTTCGAACTGTTCGCACACATTCGAGCGGCTGACTCAGGAGAGCAAACAATCATGCATATTCTGTGTGGAATTGGACAGTGGCCTAGAAAAGTTTAGTCTTTATTTTCTTTTGTAACACGGAGAAAACTCACCCGCATGCGGCTCTTCCAACTCTATGTTTTCGAGTGCCTGAGCACCAGCAAAGAGGAACACCAAAACCAAGAGTAAAGGGAGAAAACGCATCGTTGAAGTGATATAGTAGTGTATTGAGTATGGCAATAAAAATGAGAGTGGCTTTTATAATATACATGCAGATATACACCTGCTCTGTTTCCCTTCATTTTCAAATATTGATTTCATCTAATGCGATTTGTTTGGCTTATTGCCATTCTGAAGTGAAGAACAAGCAAGAAAGTTACTACACTATTCTTCTTTCAGCGAGCCATACATCCAAAAACAAGCTAATCTTTATTTGTTAGGAAGCAAAATCATGTAGTACCATATGGCACATAGGGAGCCAATCAATCTGAAAGATATGAGGTTTAAAACGTTTTCTTTTATTCTCTCTTCTAACCTTAGACAGAATTAAACTGCATTTTACATATCTCGAGAACGAAAAAGGACGAGTTCTCTGATTATTCGTCGATACAAGATTAGAACAAATCTTAAGATGTAGGTGCGGGTGTTAGTGTGCGACTGTAGAAAAACAAAACTTATCAACCTATTAACTTGCACATCCACGCTCCGATTTGTGCCCATAATCATCTTTTGAATTAATCTTCATCAAGAACATAAGTGGCTGCGCGATGAGTTGTTTTTATTTTTAATAGTGACAGACGTATGATGATACAATAATCAAAACAAAACTCATATATGATCCGGTCTTTTGCCAAGTAGAAAGTTTTCGAGGCAAATCTTCTTTAAGCACAATTATTTTTCATCTTGAACGTAAAACAAATCTTGTCGCATTTAATTATTTAGGTTATATTCTATTTACCGGCTCCAAATAAGCTTGTAGACTCGGAAGATCGCTAATCCGACAATGAACCCACTAATCGGTCCAGCGGAATAGATCCAAGCATAGCTGCTATACGTATTCGAAGCAACCGCTGGCCCTAGCCATCGCCAAGGATTAAGAGCTGCCCCATCTCTGTCAGAAGCAAGCAAAAAGGAAGAGAACACCACTAGTCCAACTGGAAGAGCCGCTTCCTTGTGCGTGTTGTACGATGTCGTAAAGAAAATGACAAATGAAAGAATGACAGTACAGATGAATTCTAAGAAAAAGCCTTGCAGAACCGTAACTGGATAGGGTAGTAATGCCAATTCTGGTGTGCCTAATTTCGTATCGTTGCCATAGTACAATAATAGTAACAGTGCTCCGGCGAGAAGGGCGCCAAATGCTTGCGCAATAATATATAGTAATGCATCAAATATTTTCATTTGACGGTTTATTGTGAAAGCAATAGTGGCCGCAGCATTGAAATGGCCACCAGAAATCGATCCGAATACATACACGAGCCAGGCTGTGACAATACCATGAGCAGTAGAGATCGCTAATAGGCCAGATCCTGGTTTCGCTGCACAGCCAGCGCCAAAAAGGACAAAGCAGCATGTGCCAATTGCTTCACAGATCAAACGAACTGGTAGTGATGGTGCTCTGTAGAAACCGTTCGCTGCTCGATTCTCTTGTATCGTGTGAGCAGTGTCTCTTTCGAGAGAATCAACTTGAACTGTTGGCATTTTATGGAACTCTCTACAATACGCAATGAAGATAAGTTAATAGGGTGGGCGAGTTTGAGGCTGAATATTGTCTTTATTTGTATCCTACCCGACAACGACACATGGATACATACTTTGAACCTGATGGGCTTAATTTTATTGAATAGGAATTTCTAACCTTAATATCTGCACATTTTATTAAATAATAACTTTCTACTCAGTTTTTCATGTTGATTCAGAATATAATATTTTCAAAAAGTTTGTAAGATAAATCGTAACAAAAAAATTGACAGTTACTCTAGGAAAAGCGAATTCGTAACTATACATATTATATTTTACTCGTGTGGTGTGTTTAAAGGCTTTCCAGCTAAAGTCTTATCGAATTGATATAAAAAGACACACATTCGTGACTAGCTTTTGAAGCTCTATCAAATTATACAAAATAGAACAAAAAATAACATATACTCGAATTTTCCATATCCGGCACGCTATCAAATGCATCTCTGTTTTGATAACACAAATTGTAGTATCACTCAAATAATATACAATAGATGTGAAAGACAAGCATATGTTTCACTATAGCTTATTAATTGGTCTTTATATTACTTTAGAAAAAAATAAGGATTACGAGAATGTCACTTAAAAAAAACCACAAATGGACACAAGTTCAATACTTATAAGACACAAAGAAATTATTTATTCTAGGAAAAAAAAGCAGTTGAGAATATATCAACAAAAAAATTCCGTCTGTATCAGAAAATATAAAGTCAAAAGTAATCATAATTGAACGTGACTCTTATATTTTATTCGTCATGAAGCAAGAGTAAATGTGTAAATCAAGTTCGAATATAAACAAAAAAGCTTGTTAGCGCAGCTCCAGAGGAGCTGAAATATGGAACTCACGTATATCTTTGAAACTTGGTATCCTGATGTCTGATGTTTAAACTGCAAAATACCTTTTCTCGAGTATTTATGAAAGCATTGATATATTATATATAATCGAAAGCCTTCTATGCGCGGTTGCTCAGGTCTGTGTAATGTTCTCTTTCCTGTTGCTATGTGTCTGTAATGGAGTGGGGGGAGAGGGAGCCGCCAACCTCGAACTGAAAACTTACACTCACTATTTTCTTCGAAAACATACGTGAGTTCCACAAAATTCATAAAAAAGACTTCCATATTGAAATAGCGAAATAGAAAAAGAAAAATTTTTTCAACCTCAAAGTTTTATTAACAAAAGTATGGGTAGTAACTTTTATTTGTTAAGCACAACAAAGCAAAAAAACCTAAATTTGATATCAATTATAAATTTATAAATGAGCACGCACACTCATGCCGGAATAACAAAAAAGCAAAAGATTAAAGAGCACCGCCGGATAAGGCCGTACATCTGCCACCCTCTCTCCCATTAGCTGTAATTTTAATAGACT